TTGTTCTGTGGTCCTACCAGTTCTTGCTTGCCAGCAAGTGGTATTTCTTGCAGGTATTTCAATGCCGCATCGTTGCTATTTTGTCATGCCATTGTTTGTAGTCAGTCTGTGCGATCTTGTAGCAGGCAATCTACTTTGCAGAGACGGCACTTGCTGTCTGTTGTCCTCTTCTCAATTCTGGCTTTGTATGCATTTGATCTTTAGGCTTGGTCTTGTGCAGCCAGAATTAGCCCCTCTGTCTCTTTCTTCAATTTTCTTGCTCTTAGCAAGAAACCAGGTTTTCTTGTTATCTGCTTTGCCTGCTATTTTTTTTTATGGTTCATCGCACTGTCAGCCAGATGTTCAGGCTGTATTTGGCATTTTTATCTACCTAATGTTGTTATTATTCATAGTAATATTAGTTAAGGTAGTATTTATTACATTATTTTTGTATAGTAAATGTTTGGGAGGGGTTGTTGACGAATAAAGTGAAACTAATGAAGGGTTTTCAGCTTTCCCTCCTTCCAAAGTCAGTAAAATGAGGGCCCAGATTGTTCAGGGCAATATGCTGGCTCTGTAAACCAGTTAGAAAGGGCTGTAAAACCACCGTGAAGCGGAATATAAGTCTAAGTGCTATTGCTTCACTGAAAAAAGTGACTTATGACTGTTCTTCACACTTACAACTGTTACAGCATCCCCATGGTCACGTGATCAAAATTCAGACGCTTGACAACTGACTCATATTTATGACAGCTGCACTCATTGTTCTCGGGTCCTGTGATCACTTTTGCAACCTTCTGACAAGCCAACTCAGTTGGGGAAGCCAGATTCATTTAACGACTGAAACCATGATACAACTGAACAACTGCAGTGACTCACTTAACGACTGTGGCAAGAAAAGTCATAACATGAGGCAAAATTCACTTAATTACTGTCTCGCTCAGCAACATAAATTTTGGGCTCAATAGGGATCATAAGTCAAGAACTACCTGTTACTTAGGTTTTTTTTAGTTGCAGCAAACTCTCATGAAAATGGGATCTGGGCAATCTATTTACTACGGCTAATATGTGTCCTAATTCAGGGGTCCAAATATACTCCTAGCGTGGAAGGTTCTGCTTCATTTTGCAGGCTATACAGGTAGTCCTTGACATACGACCACAATTGAGCCCAAAATTTCTGGTGATAAGTGAGACATTTGTTAAGTGAACTTTACCCCATTTTATGACATTTCTTCCCACAGTTGTTAAGTGAAATCACTGCAGTTGATAAGTTAGTAACCTGGTAGTTAAGTGAATCTGGCTTCCCCATTGACATTGCTTGTTAGAAGGTCACAAAAGAGGATCATGTGATTTTTGGGTCACAGCAAATATGAACCGGTTGCCAATCATTTGCAATTTGATCACATGATCATAGGGATGCTACAAAGGTCGTAAGTATGAAAAACTGTCCTAAGTCACATTTGTCAGTGCTGTTGTACCTTTGAACGGTCACTAAACGAACTCTTGTGAGTTGAGGACTACCTGTACTTTCTCTCGGCTTAACTTACCTCTCAAGACTGCTTGATCTGAGGATAAATATGAATGCAAATTCTCCTATAAGCCACTTTAAATTCCTAGAGATAAGTGGAATAAGCCTGGCAAACCAATAATAAGAAATAAGTCTTGCATTAAAATCATGGCTGTTATTTGACAAGCTATTTATTGTTGTAGAAAAAACTCATATATAGTAGTATCTCTAGACCAGGAAGTGTAAAAATCCCATATTTCTATTTCATTATCTATGGCTCCAACTGAGACCATTCTTCATGCAACAGGACAAGCACCAGCTCTCCCCTCTAGTATATCTCCCTGTACAAATATTCAGGGTTATTCCTATCTGTAAATGCACAATTTCCATTTAGCTGACTGTGGCGGGATGAGATACCCTGAATGTGGCAGAGTATAAAATTGGTCTCTGTTTAAGTGTCATGTAGACAGCAATAGCAATAGCACTTATATGCTACTTTACAATGCTTTTCAGCCCTCTCTAAGTGGGGTTTACCGAGTCAGTATATTGCCCCAAACAATCTGGGTCCTCATTTTACTGACCTCAGAAGGCTGGAAGGCTGAGTCAACCTTGAGCCTGGTGAGACTCGAACTGCCAAATTGCAGGCAGCTGGCAGTCAACAGAAGTACCCTGCAGTACTGCATTCTAACCACTGCGCCGCCACCGATGAAGACTCTGGGGAGTAGGTACTTCTGCCTGTTGGTGAAACTGTATAAAAAGCGAATTGGTTAGGCAATGGAGGAAGCTGCTGAGCACTGTGGAAGTTGTATTTCTGCTGTGTAGACTAGAGGAGCTATAAAGACATGATTGGAGGAGGAGCTGAGCACCCAGCTGGAGCAAGCAGGATGAGAAAGGGAGACCTGTGGCATGGGATAGCAGGTGGAAGAAACAGCTGGTCTAGAAAGAGCAGCCCAGACATCAGAAAGGACAGCTTGGCAAAGCTGGAGGATTTCTCAAAGGTTTGAGAAAGAGTGATTTTTTCCCCCACCTCTTTCCTTCTTTCTCTCTAGACTGAAAGCAAGTCCAAGAAGTGGAAGTTATGAAAGTGTCTAATAGACTTCTGTGAATCAAGGACGTTCTGATCAAGGTTCTGATAAGGAAAACCTCCTTGAATCAAGGAAGGAGGGATTGAGATGGTTAGGAAACCATAAAATGCATCATCTGTATGTAGATACCAAGTGTATGTAGATACCAAGTGGGTGTTTATGCTAAAGCCACTCTATCGAAGAAAAATAAAAATATTTAGTTCAGAAACATTGTCTTTACTTCAAGAACACTGTAATTTGTAATTTGGAGAACAGTTTGTGTGTGTGTGTGTGTGTGTGTGTGTATACACACTATACCTGGATAGTTCCCATCTCTTTTCTTAACTTTGACATGACTATTAATCATTGCTAGATGGATCTCCATGAAGTTATCTGATTCTCCTTTGAAACCTTCACTCTGTTTGATGACAGAATTTGCATGTATATGTTGTGTGAAGGTACACTTACTTTATCTGTCAGGAATGTGTCAGTCAGTTACACTGGATGATGTTGGGTTCTAATATTTTGAGTGGTTTAACCCTTGATTCATACTCTGAATACTTATGAACATTTTTCTGCACAATCATTTTCAAAGTATGAACAAAATTAATAGCTTCTTCACTGCTACCCATCCCTGCATATTCCCACTTTTGGTCTCCATGCAACTGTAGGACTTTGTATAATCCACATATATTTCTTTATTTCCCTAACTTCTTACCATCTTTAAAATAAAAATATGAAGTGAGTCGTACTGTTTGTTGATGTCTGACTATTAAAAGAACAATTGATAAAAACACACGTACATCTAAGTACAATAAGACATCAAGAGTTGTTCAAGCGAGCCTTATTTAATCTCACACTGTTTATTGTTTTTAACACATACAATAGTTGGTTCCTTAGTTGTTACTTAAAATTGACATTTGAAAATACCGAGACCTAAATTAATCTTTGTTAGATGCAATGTAACTTGCAGTTTTCTATATTTTTTTGTTTTATTATTTTAATGAATATCCTACTTTTCTACCCAAAGTGGTACCCCATATGGTATTTGGGGCAGTATTTTTTTAAAAAAAAGAACAAACAATTAAAATCATGTAAGCAATTTGTAATCCAATTTATAAGGCCTGGATGAAGAAGACATTTTGATTTTTAATGGTGGAAAGTGTGTAAACTAGCGCAACTCCTGATGGGAGATAGTCCATTTGATACAGGCTCACACAGCTGTTTCTGTCTCTGAATAAGTTCACATTAAGACAAGCAGGTTGTCTGAAGATTAATTTCAGAGTTAGGACCAAAAAGGCTGGTTGAGTTGTGCCCAGAAACCAGCTGGCAACTAGTAATTTTATCTCACTGCCTTCCAAATAAATACTTGGGTACTTTAGTATTATTGCCTGGTTTGGTAGTTTCCATAAGTTGGCCAAGAATGTTATGTTATCTTCTTAAGTTTACTCAGAGACAAGACTCACTGAATTCAGAGGGCTTACAGGCAAGTCCTTGACTTATGACCATAATGGAGTTTGTCTATCATGGTTGTAATTCACGACAGTCATGAAGCAGATCGATCACATGACTGACCAGATTTTAGAATCTTTTTTGTGGTGGTTGTTAAGTGAATGCCACAGTTGTGAAGGGGCTGTGAGGCATTAAGTGAATGCTGAGGTCATTAAGTGAATCCATGGTTTGCCATCAGTTTTGCCAGAAATTGGAATTAAATGCTGGGTTACAACAAAAACAATCATAAAATGGGATCACGTGGTCGTGGGAAACCCCAAACGGCCATACATATGCCTGGTTGACAAGTACCCGAAGTGCAGTCACATGACCACAGGGGAGCGGTTTGACCATCAGAACTTCAAAACCGGGTTGTATGTATTTGCTAGGTGGTTCCATCGGAATTTTGAATAGTTACAAAGCAATCCAGTTGTAAGTCAGATAACACAATCAGTTGGAAGGGACTTGTAGGTCATGTAGTCCAATCCCCCGCCCAAGCGGGAGACCCTACACCATTTCTGACAAATGGCAGTCCAATCTTGAAGGTCTCAAGTGATGGCGCTCCCACAACTTCCGAGAGCAAGGTGTTCCATTGGTTGATCGTTCTCACTGTCAGAAAGTTTCTCCTTATTTCCAGGTTAAATCTCTTTTAAATCTCTTAAGATTAAGTCCTTAAGTCAAGAACTACCTGTATTTCTATATAAGCTTTATAGCTTACCTGTAGTTCTATATAAGCTCTATATAAGTGTCATCATTTAGCTATTTGATGCATTAATTTTTATGTATCATTACCCCTGAATCCCCAAATCTGAAAAAAAAACACGGCCCTGCACAAAAGAATCCATAATTGCATAAAGTATTGATTACTATGTGAGCTTTCCTAACAGCAGATAACAAACAAATTGTTGAGAATATTTCACTTGATCCTCCGTTGATTATTGCTTTCGAATTCTTTTCAGAAACAAATGGAATCTCATTCAGGATCCAGACCAGCGTGAAAGGATCTTCAGGCACAGACATATTATTAAAGTTGTTGTTTCATCTACCACTCAGTTACCCATCAAGCTTGCCAAACATCTCTCTTCATTCTGAACAACTTACAAGGACACAGTGTCTTGCTGTGAGAGCAAGATTGCTTGAAGCAGCAGCAAGTCGTTTGTCTCAGCCCATGGTACACGAGTTGATCCTCTGGATAGAGCAGAATTTTCAGTCTATCATTAAAGAAGCTGAAATTCCAGCCTGCGATGGGCAAAATACTCTGTCAGTGAAAATACCCGAGGACAATGACATCTGGACTGTCCTTTTGCATTTAGACCATATGAGAGCCAAAGGAAAATATATCAAAATGGTTGAAAAATGGTGTAGAGATCTTGACTTGGCAGGAAGACTGATGTTTATGGGCAAGATGATTCTCATACTACTTCAAGGAGACAGGCAGAACATTAAGGTGCATGCTTTGCCCTTTGTGGCTGGTTATGTGGCTGGCAGACCATGGAATTTTGCTTGGTAGCATTAACCATGAGAGATACCCCAGTTGGTTGCTGATTTCCACACAAACTCAACCTTCCTCTGATTATTTTCTCCCTCCGTCCTCTGGGTTCCCCTTTCATAAAAGTCACATCAGCAATGTTTAATATTGGGTTTGCAAGGTTAGCCACAGTTTGCACTGAGAAGGGGTCAGCCATCGCCACTTCAACACCGTCCCTTCTGCTGTGGTGAAGAACTCCAATATAAGCAGCCACAGCAGATTAGACAGAATTTTCTCCCCTTGCTTACATTAGCCTCCCAAGAGGGTGAGCAGATACACTATAGGAGAAATTTGGGTTTACTTCTGCGACTGTCCACTCAGTGGGGAGTCTAAGACAGAGGTGGCATTCAGTAGGTTCTGACTAGTTCTGGAGAACCGGTAGCGGAAATTTTGAGTATTTCAGAGAACCAGCAAATACCACCTCTGATTGGCCCCACCCCGATCTATTCCCTGCCTCCCGTGTCCCAGCTGATCGGCTGGGTCTTCTTTTGTTGCCCTGCACAGGAGAAGAGAGCTGGAAAGCAGGTTAGTGGGGTGGGGAGGGAATGGGGATTTTGCAGTAACCTTCCCCCAGGAATGGGGAGGGAATGGAGATTTTACACTATACTTCCCCTGCCTTGCCCACCAAGCCACGCCCACAGAACTGGTAGTTAATCCCATCAGGGTTTCTCAAACTTGCCAACTTGAAGACAGGTGGTCTTCAACTCCCAGAATTCCCCAGCCAGCATGAGAGTTGAAGCCCATGCATCTTCAAGCTGCTAAAGCCAAGAAACGGATTTAGATGGTCTAGATACGTGGAAGACCACACATCTTCAATCTGATGGGGAAACATTGGGTCAAGACAATGGCTATTTGAAATACAATGGGAAGTGAGCTTTTTTTCCAGTTAATACGGCAGCCTCACCATGCAAGTGCCCTTCACACTTTCTAGCAGTAAACTAAATACTAATGCATTAATTAATCATGAAAAAGTTGCTGTCCTTTTATGACACCCCATTTGTGCTACCCTAGGCAGCTGCTTCACTCGAACTAATGGATGCTATTCCTGTAACCAAGAATGGAATGATTATACATAGGCCAACACGTATCTTCCATCGTGATGTATGGAATTATGGATGAATCATGACAAATTTAGTATTCTGTCATGCCTTCATGGCCAATGAAATGTAACTGGTAGAAATTTGTGTTCAGAAATGGATTATATTATTTAGATCTGGATAATAATTACAGTCCTATGAGTCGGTTGGAATTTTATATGGAAATATATATGCAAACTGACAGATGGGAAAATTGAACAACTCCTAAATGTGAATTATTCCTAAATGTCAAAGTGGAACTTTCTGTTTTTCAGTTTAATGCCATTTTGTGAGCAATTTGCATTCACAAAAGCCTTCAGTTACCGCGGTTTTGGTTTCACTATTTTGTTCTCCGGTCAACTCTGTAGTATATACTCAGTCCTCATGGCAAATCTTAATGAGAATGGATGCCAGTGTTCTCTTTTTATGCTTTCTTAGCAGGGTATAAATTTGCACTGCTCAAGTCTTAATCTGATCACTACATAATACATGAATATAATAGAATATCAGAGTTGGAAGGGACCTTGGGGGTCTTCTGGTCCAACCTTCTGCTTAAGCAGGAAACCTTACACTATTTCAGAGAAGTGATTCGGCATCCGCAACTTCTGGAGGGAAGCCATTCCACCGGTTGATTGTTCTCACTGTCAGGAAATGACATAAAGATGCCATCCCGTGTTTTACTTAAAAATGGAGTCAGGCTATTACACCTCCTGAAACCTGCCTCCTAACTAAACCTGAAGAAGTCTGTACCGGTTATGTAATCTTTATCTATAATTTTAGCAGAGAATTCCGGACTACTCTGTTGTAGGCTGGAAGGTCAAACAAAAAAACAAGTCAGTGGTAAACCTGTTCCAAATTACTGTATTTCCAACAAAATTGCATGGAAGTAACTAAAATCACCAAGCGCTGAACTTGGTTTGAAAGAGAGCAGATTATATTTTTCATCTTTGGTTGCCACTATTTAATGCATGGATATATTAAGTCACCAGGAGCTAAACTTGACGTCAAATAAACTCCTTCCTTCCTTCCTTCCTTCCTTCCTTCCTTCCTTCCTTCCTTTTCTGTCAGTCTTTCCTTCCTTCCTCCCTCCCTCCCCTCCCTCCCTCCCCTCTTTTCTGTTTGTCCTTCCTTCCTTCCTTCCTTCCTTCCTTCCTTCCTTCCTTCCTTCCTTCCTTCCTTCCTTCCTTCCTTTCTTTCTTTCTTTCTTTCTCCATATATATGTATCTTATTTCTATCCTGCCACAATTACAAAGATTCTCAGCAAATTACACAGAATAAATAATACAGTATAAACTTAGGATACAAAATGCAAACCCTTGTGGGGTGTTTTTGCCAATCCCCCCCGCCCCCCAAAACAATAACAACAACAACCTAGAAGTAAACCCTGGTTTTCAGCAAAAATATATGGCTGCAGGATCCTGCAATTGGCCATAAGTGCAGACTGGTTGCTAAGCAGCCAAAATGCAGTCATGGAAGCCAGTTGTTGAAAGTTTGGTACCCGGTGGTAAATGCCTTTTGGGGTGGATCCAATGGAACTTCAAATGATCATTAAGCACTGATCTTAAGTATATAAACATTCTTGATTTTTAATTTCTATATATTTATAGTGGTGGACATTTATTTGTAGGTTGTTTTGCTGTTATTGTGACCTATTTCTGTTTTGAGGCTGCAAAATCAACACTAAATAAATAGTCCCCCATCCTAAAAACTTCGGCAAGATTTGAATTTGTATGTGTGGGAGATCTAAATTTGGAAGGACTTTGTTGTTTGATAATACATTAAAGTCATCCTGGGTTCTTTACCATTTCAGGATTGAATCTAGCAGCTCTGAACTGAAGGACTTGTCGTAAGAGCTTTGTTGCCTCTTTGTTATTCTTGTTTGTGAAAAAGTTGAAATCACGTGGCCAAATCATGCAACATGCAATAGTATTAAATAAAAGGGTCTTGCATTGTTAGAAAGGATGAGTGGGAAGAGCCTTCGTGTCATGGCAACAGCCCCCCTCTTTTTTCTCCATACCTTGGAGCTAATCTTTAACAAAACACAAGAAGAAAACCCAGTGTGTTAATATTCAAGTAGATTTAATTCATGTAAGAAGAAAACAAACACTTGAAGCAAAAAAGAAAAAAACTAAGCTGACATCACTACTACACTCGGGTGTACTAGGGGAAAATGCGTATTGGGAAAAAAAACTTTGTGTGCGTGTTTATGTAAGTTGTGTATCCTTGCTCTGGGGGATGGTATAAGAAATACATCTGTGCTGAGTGAACATTTTAAATATTCACTGCAGTTGATTGTGGGGAGTGTAACTTAGAAATTAGTTATATAAATCTGTTTATTTTTCCTGTGAGTTAAGGTATGAACTAGGATAAATCGAAAGAGCACTGCATCAGGTGTAATCCTGCTTTTTGTAAGAGTGATAAAAATGTTCAGGGAAACTGTTTTGAAAAGCTTGGTGCAGTTGTTCATAAACTTGTACAACTCAAGTGTGTGCCTTTCACACGTCACAGGAAAATGTAAGCGCAACATCACCATACTTTACACCGGTAGGATTATTTACTAGCAAGAGTAATCCTGCGATTAATAAAATTCAAAGAGTTGACTTTTGGGTTTCAGCCAAGGTCTATTTAGAAATCCTTTCAGGAAATAATGTTTTTTTCTGTCAATAATATTTGTCTTTGGGCTATTATGGATGATGTTATATTAATGTTGTTCAATTCTTCTTTTTTTCTGATTCAGGAATACCTTATTCTCCAAAAAACTAGCAAAGTGGATGTGGATTCGAGCGGAAAGAAGTGTAAGGAGAAAATGATGAGCGTACTCTTTGAAACAAAAGTACAGGCTGAACACAGAAGGTATGATTTAATTGCGTTCAGCTAGGAAACCAGCTTTGAATTGATAATTATATTCTGACAAAGAAGTTGGCATATTCACGAAGTCTCTTTGGTACAATATAGGTTTCAGGCATTTGAAGTCAAAGACTATTCAACGTTGGATGAGCTACAACATGAATTTGAGGCCGCAGGACTCGCAAAACTGTTCAGTGAGTTTGTGTCGGTTCAGTTAAAGTAATTCTGAAGCAAGCCCACACAACTGTGACTTAAACTGTCACTGAATATATCGAATGGAAGAGGAAGATAACACAGAAGGTTTGGTGATGAACAGATCCTAAAGGTTTTCCGAAGCAAACTGTCACAAAAAAGCCATCTCCTTACACAAAGCATAAGACACTTTTCACAGTAGAACAGATGTTACTTTGTTGTGTGCCCTGACAGCATTTTCTTAGTAACTGTTGAAAGTTTTAACAGTTGATACTTAAGAACTATAGGTCAGGTGTGAAGGGATTGTTGTAGTTCTTGGGATTTGGAAACCTAATTTTGCATATACGAGGGCTATCCACAAAATAGATTACGTTTTGCGATAGAAAAAAAACAAAGTGTAGGAATTTTTTTTTATTATATACACTTGAAAGTGACACTTAAATACTACTTTTCAACATATTCACCGAACAAATTGAGGCACTTATCATAGAGGTGAACAAGCTTTGTAATTCCATTGTCATAAAATTCAGCCGCCTGAGATTTGAGCCAGTCAGTCACGTCCGCCCGCAGTTCCGCATCATCGTTGTCAAAACGCTGTGTTCCAAGCCAGGTCTTCATCCTCAGAAACAAGTGGTGGTCGCTTAGTGCAAGATCGGGGCTGTAGGGCGGATGAGGAAAAATCTCCCACTTGAAAGCATTCAGGACTTCTTGAGTGCCGTAGTTTGGCCATTTTTAAACTTAATGCACCATTGGCGCACTCCACCTTCAGTGATGATGTTGTCCCCGTAGACTTCACACAGTTGCCAAAAAAGTTCAGTCGGTTTATGGTTTTTTGCCAACAAAAACCTTATCACTGATTGCACCTCACAACTCGCAGGATTTTCAATTTCAGCACACATTTCAAACGTTTGCTGTGAAATAACGGGCAACGATACGAACCTCCCACTAGCACGACTAGATGCAGACTGAGCGGCGGACGCACAGACCAAAGATGGCCACGCTAGCTCCGCCCCTTCTTGCTACAGATGAAAACGTAATCTATTTTGTGGATAGCCCTCGTATTTTCCTGGCTATTCTGCATGGGTATTCAAAAAGAAAAAATGCATCCTATTTTCAAAGAGTAATGCTTACATTCATGACAATATGGTCTAAAGAGCTTGTGTTGTAATTTATTTGTTGAAGACTATAAGGGATGAGACATCATTTTAAACTTCGCTCTTATTTTTTTTTTTTTTTAGGAAAGTGAAGTAAAATTTCCCAGAGATCAGTCTTGCCCTTTCATGAAAGTAGAGTTTCATCTTCCATTTATAAATTGGATTTAAAATTCACCTTACTTCAGAAGACAGTTTGAGTGGCTACTACAATACATATAAAAACATACAATTAAAAACTGATTTACACACACACACACACATATGATAATAAAATCTGAAAGGTTCTTTTTAAAATGTGTGAATGTGGTAGATTCATACAACCACTTCTGTTTTTTTCTATAACTTTTGACCATTGGTTTAGTATAATAACTGCTTACTGGCTTAAAAATATCCTGCAGGTTTCTTAAGCTGAATAAAAACCCCATTGCCTTTCACCAAAATTATTTGTTTTTAGCTGTTTGTCTGTTGAGGTTTCTATATATAATCACATAGAGATGTCTGAAAAAGATGCCATACCTTTGATTAGGAATCTCTTCCCCCCCCAGTTCCTATTAATCAGGGTGATAGTAACTTTCTCAATACTGGGGAAATTGGGAAGAATACCATTCTCCTAAAGATAGGGATCAGTAACCTGTACTTGTCTAGATGTTACTGAATAACAACTTACAACATACTGGGTGAGGCTACTGGAATTTGTTCTTCAGCAAGATTTGAAAAAAAACTGCATTCTTGTTTTATATTTTCAGCTTGTTGACAACGGAAATGAAGAATTGATCCCTTTAATGTAGAGTTTTCTACTTTAATGTATAATATTTAACAAAAGTCGATATCAAACTCCACTGTTCAGGAGTTGAGCTTTATTCTGGGTTCCATCTATAGGCCTGCTCTTTTTTGCACTAATATTATTATTCTTATTTACCGAACTTTGACAGAATAAATTGATGGGAACAATTTATTCTAAAAGTCTCATGCTACCATTTCTTAGGTAAGTGCATCAAAGCTAGAAAAGCCAGTGCACTATGTTGTTAAGATTTTTGTCTATCCTTGGCAAGCTTCTCCCTGCCTGGTTGGCATCCAATGAATGAGGGAAGTGAGTTTATTGAGGAGTGTAGCCAAATGTCCTTTCTGGGTTTCCTTGCTAGAGGGGGTAGATTTTGGGTCATGGTTACTTGTATAACCTCTGCTTTAATAAGGATCCTATGGGCTTAAAGGGGTAAAGATGCTTGTCATGTTCCCAACGCCTGCCTGCCTATTTACTTATTTACTTACTGAACTTATATGGTCCCATATAATGACTAGATGGCTCACAGCAATCCCTAAAAATATGGTTAGAAACAAAGGAATCCTTCCCTTCAGCTTCCAGATCAAGCATCCTTGCAACTCAACTCCATCCTAGCCCAGCACTTCATCACCCCCTGAAAGGCTAAAGAAGTAGGGATCCCTTGGATCTCAAGTGGGAGGTTGTTCCAAAGGACTGGGTTGGTCTCCAAGAAGGCATGCCTCTGAGGTCTCATCAGGTGACAAGTTGGAGCACACTCACCCTATCTGACTTAGTAGGACAGTAAGGAGAGATGATCCCTAGTACCTGTGCATGGAAATATTTCGTTTTGTTAGTGGCCTTTCCCAAGTTGGATGACCCATTCTCCCCTGTAGTGCAAAGCATAACCAAAGTTATGTGGAGTACACTCAGTTTTAATGAGCTCCTTTTTATACCCTTCTGTTAAAAACATCATACAGTAGCTGTCGTTTCGATACATACTTGGTAATTTAATGAGATGACAGTAAACTTTGTGCGCTTTGGCATTTTGTCAACTGAAGTGTATGATTTTTTTGTTGTTGTTAAAAAAACTACTTTCTGCATCCAATTTGTACCTTGTATATTTTGGATGGCAACATCTGCCTTTATGTCATCTAAGAAGAAACAGTTGTAAAAGAAATCTGTAAGGAAAGATTTTCGGCTTGCTATTGTACATGAGGAGACATCAGTCAAATCAAGGTGTAATAGTTTCTTCAAAACATTTGCCATATGGGGCAAATTATGTCATTTCAAATAGTTGACATGGTCATATTAGACTTCAGAAGGTATCCCAGAATTGCATCATTCTTACCTGATCTAAAGCACATTGTCAAAGCCTGTATAAGATGAACATATCCAATAGTGTCATGCCTGAAAAACAGCACTGTGTCTTCATTCTGTACAAAAATACTATGGGAAGAGCATGGACAATGTTCTGTGGTACATGAGATTATTCCTTCAGGCAACTGTTTCACTTCAAGCTTGCAAGATAAGGATTTTGGGTCCCCGTGTTCCTTGTGGATGGATACCCTTAAACAAAGCAAAGGGAAAATTGTCATGGAAAACACTATGCATTTCATGATATACTCTTCAAGGAAACGTCCTTAAATCCTGTAATCTCTGATAATAGGTGTTGATATGCATCTTATTAATAATAATCAGCTAATTTATTAGTTTTAATATTTTAGTTATTTTCCTGCTCATCTTTTATAATCTGGGCACTGTCCAGAGTTGCGTATTACAATATAAATTAATTAATATGATCAGTATGATTTATTCAGGTATTGTTGTAACTGTCTCTTAATATCTATTGGGAGTAGCAACTAGTAGTTAGCTTATACCCAATATTGACAGCTCAATGTGAAATCCAATATATGAATATAGTGTCCTTATTGCCCATCAGAAAAAAAGGATATAAGAACATCAAGAGAATCTTATATTAATATACCAAATGCTTATATATGCTTAACTGGATGCTTCGGGGAAGTTATCAAACCGATGCTGAGCACTGAGGATTGTTCCTGTCACTCAACAATGGGTGCCTCTGATATCATGATTAACTATCTATCTTAAATTTCTCTAAAAGTTACCTAGGTTTTGTCTGTCCCAGTTCACCACCACTTAGTTTTATTGGAATACCCCAATTTTGGTATCATGAAAAAGACTCATCTCATGCAGAGCTTTATATATCTCTATTAAGTTTTCCATTTGCCTTTTTTTAAAAGCCAAGGATTACAGAATGCGAAGCATTTTTAAATGCCGCCAATTTTTTTTTTTCAGAAGTGGTGGAAGGTGTAACAAGTACGGCCACTTCTCCATGGATTTGTGTAAAAACAAATATTTCCTCTTTTTGAAATCCTTGTTCTATGATATCCAACATGGAGTTTCTTTTTTTTTTTAAACAGCAATGGGCACATACAGCCTTTTTGTTTTTACTGGGCTCCTTACCACTAACCTCAAGACTCCTTTCTTGATTAGCTACTGTCAATTCAGATCCCAGCAGCATGCATGTGAGATTAAGATTCCTGCCTTGTTCTTATATGCTTGCTTGACATTCTTCCTGTTTCTTACAGCAATTCTTTTTGTCTGTATGATAAACATACAAAATAATTTAGTTTGCCAGTCACTTAGCTACGTTTTCTGCTAACTACTGGTGCCTCGTAACTCATTTATAAACAAGTGGTGCTGATATATTGCAGTGTTTGTATTCCATCGTGAGAATAGGATTCTGATCTTTAACTAGTTATTAAAAAATACAAGAGCGCCTCACCTTTTATCTCATTCTGCTAAATTTGCTTTTGGAGAGATGTCATCAAAGGTGCTTAAACATCTAAACAAACCCCTGTCTGTATCCTTGTTGATACTCAAGAATGCTTAAAAAGAAGCCTTATCTTTAAAGAAGTATTGCTGGCTCTTCAGCAAGGCTTGTCATCCTATATGTGCTTATCAATTAATCTTTAATAACATTTTCTACCAATTTGAGTGGAATAGCTGTTAAACCAACTAGCCTATAATATCCTGAATTCTCCTGGATTCGTGCTTTTTTTTTTTCCAATTGGCCTGTACATTATCCATTTTACAATCTTCTGATACATAAGTTGACCTTTAAGGCATGGTACAATTATCAGATGGTTAAGATCAGTTTGTTTTTCATACAGTACTGTCCTTTGAAGGTTTTTTTTTTTTTGTTAAAAGATAAATGTGGCAGGGTTGGCTCCTGTCAGGAAAAGTTAACATACAAATATATTAAAACCCTCAAATAGATGTTGCAGTAGGTCCTGATCATCATTCAGAATTAAGAACAAAGTCATCTCCCTTCTGGTTGGTTCCAGGATAAATGTTATTAGGTAGATTATTTCACTTTGTGCTATTTCTCTCTCTCTTTTCAT